CGGGTTAATTTAAAGAAAGTACAGGGGCCTCTTAGCAAAATGGTGCCGCCGCCGCTGGGCCTCCCATCATGGGCCGGCCTGCTCGCGCTGGGCCGCCCGCGCCTGTTGCTGCGTCATGCATGAGTTGGCTGCTGGGCCGCGCTCGCCACGCCTGGGCCGCTCACGCCCGCGCGCTGGGCCGGCCTGCCGCCGTCGGCTGGCTGGGCCGCTCGCGCCCCGTCCCTGCGCTGTGCGCCTGCGGGCCGAGCCAGCTCGCCAGCCACGGAACTTTTGGGCCGTGGTGCTCTTTTCTGTTTTCCAATGAATTAGAGTATATTTCCTTATATAAATTCTGAGCGGATTTTGTTATTTAAATATAAAATTATTTAGGAGTCCAAAAATTATAAAACCAATTTTATTAGGCTCCTAGAATTATGATCCATCTATTAGCGTAATTGGTTCATCTAGTTTTAAAATATTTCCATGGTTGCTCTAATTATTTTAAAATGTTTAGAATTGTTAAAATGTGAACTTGTAGGAATTTCTGAGATAAATCGGTGATAGTGGACTCTAAAAATTTTACAGTAAATTACTAATATTTTTTGTTATATTTTCCCCAGACAAGTCCCGGTGTATAACCCCTACTTTTCTGCACTTTAAATTATGTTTGTGCATTAAGTTTTAAGAAGTTGAATGAAACCCACTTGCATATATATATATATATATATATATATTTATCCCATGAGTCTTACTAGTATGACAGGATCGTATAGATTGCTATGCTACAGAACTCCGGTAGAAGTCGAGTGATTGCCTGTCACTCGCGAGAGATAGGAAATATATTATTGTATTATTATCACTTGGAATATATAAAATGGTGGAAAGGAAAATGGTGACCAGGCAGGGATATGGTTTGGGTATTGATGGATGTAAGAGGTTGTGTCCGGCGTCCAACATGGTATGGCTTGTTTACACTGTTTTCTCTGTCTGTGTCGGTTAAGGACCGACCGTTGCATAAGACTCTAGACAAGTCACAGACTTATTATCCTGATCACATAATTGGGTATGGGCGCTTAAAAGACTTTTACTCTCTTGTCATGGGTTCCGACTCTTTCCGGACTGACTGTCAGGGTGGTTTTTGGGTTAGGAGGTCCTTCCACCGCACTGAGTCCAGGACTCAGGGACGGGGGCTTGGAGTCCCAGTTTGGACGGGGACCTGGACCCCGTGACAGGAGGATAGTGGGTTGGTACTGCTTGTGCCTGGGGTACAAGCGGCGCGTGTGTTTTCGGGGTACCCACCTGGGGGCATTGATTAGCGAATCGCCGGGCGATCCGGTACGGCTTGTCCACGGTCTAGCACCGTAGTAAGAATTGAAAGATGGATGGTGATGAAATAGAAGCTGATTGCTTACCACCTTCTTCAAAGTAGCACAGGTGCTTACATAGAATGGTTAGTTAATGAACCAATGCGACTGCTAATAAAAATCGAATATAAGGACACACGCTTAGGAATGCTTCCTGCCGATGCAATAAACCCACAAGCCAGATAGCCTTGCATATCTTTGGAGTCTTTTCTTTACTCCTATCGGGTAAGTCTTGCCGAGTACAATTGAGTACTCAGAGTTTTATTTCCCCCTGTTGCAGGTGACAGGTGGAGGCTAGAGCTGACCTTTGTATGTGGATTCCTCCTGGTGGGCTTAGAGAGGATTTCCTTTACGCTGTGATCATAGTCTTATTTATAACTCTCACTAAATGTTTTTATAAATGAAAGTTTTATAATCTGTTGTCATAGTTTATATATCAATGCTTCAACATGTCATGAATAGATATTTATTTTCGCTGTAATTTTGATCACATGTTCATATTCCGCTGTTAAATTAAATTATTCATAACTCTGACAACATGATCGTATTCCACTATTATAAATAATAAATATTATACTCTGATGTTGTATTAAAAGTAATGTATGAAATGTAATAATGATGTAAACTTTATTTTCTAATTTGTGATCCTGATGGAAAAATGTGGATTTTCGGGTTCTCTCCTAGGGTGTGTCCGACGGGACCGAGTAATTTAGTGTTCTCCCTTGAGAGTATAGTGTCTAATGGAAGACGAGCACTCCTGGGAGACATTAGATTAGACGGTTCTACCACATGTGAGCTGTCCTACGACATTGAGGATTGCATCGACCGTTTCATGCTCAACCACAGCCATGGAGGTTCCAAGTCCAACTTTGTGCGCAAGGCCATGTGAAAGGTGAAGACGTTGTTCGAGGGCGGAGGAATAGCAGAGGAGATCCGAGAACTCAAGAGCCTTGTGAGCGAGCGGAGCGAGCGGGGCAAACGCTACTACGACATCAATCAGTGTCTCCTTGCCTCGTCATCTCAACCAGTGCTCTTGTATCCTTGAGCACCAGCTCTCTTTCAGGAGGCCAGGGATCTCGTGGGAATTGATGGTCCTCGCGAGGAGATCATCCGGATATTGAAATGTGAAGAGAAGCAACACAAGGTGGTGTCCATCTATGGGACCGGTGGACAGGGGAAGACCACCCTCGCCATGGAGGTGTACCACAGAATCACTCAAGCATTTGATTGCCGAGCTTTCATGTCGGTATCACAAACTCCAGACATGAAGAAGCTTCTTAGAGATATATTGTCTCAAATAAGCGAGGTTGATTTTGACAAGTCAGAGAGGTTGGAGACGGATCAGCAGCTCATACGCACAGTGAGACAACGCTTAAAGGAAAAGAGGTAACCGAGATTATTTCTTTTTCTAATAGTTAACCATTAAAATCTAGCTATAATAATGTAAATATTTGTTCATCACATGAGCTCACCTAATTAATAGGCCATTTATGAAATTTTCTGCGAATTTTAGAAAATGATTTATTTTGTTGGCCCAATGAACTAGACATCATTAAGATGTTACAACAATAAACAAACTCAAGTCAACTGTGCCATGGTAATGTCCACAATGGCTGGCTCATGCATCTATGCTTGTTTGTGTCTACCACTTTGTTACAAAATTTACTTTATACCATCTAATCCATATTCATTAAGATGACTTCTTCAAAAATATGATTAGGATTTGAATATCCGTAAAAATCTCTTTTAATTAGGAACTCAGTTTTTGAACTGAATGCTTCATGTCTTTTGAGTGGGTCTCTAGGTGTTCTAAATTCTAATACGTCACTTACTATTTTGGAGTTTGTAACATATTTTTAAAATATTAGTACTACTACTTTAGTAGTTTGCAGTCAGTACTTCTCATGTGTAATAATACTTACGGATAGAAAAATGTGACACTACGATCCATCTTCTTATTTCATTTCTACGATTTCTTTAATTTCACCACAATATGCTCAAATTTATGGTGGCCATACATAATAACATGATTCCGTAACTAATGCATGCAGGTACTTCATCTTGATTGATGATATCTGGAGTGTATCAGCTTGGGAGCTTGTACGATCTGCCTTGCCTCTCAATGACAATGGAAGCAGAATTATTACAACAACACGCATTAAAGCAGTAGCCAACTCATGCTGTACTGGTATTGCCGCACAAATGTATGAAGCCAAGCCACTTAGTGATGAGGACTCTCAGAGATTATTCTTTACGAGGCTATTTTTTCTCCGGTGATGATTGTCACCCAGATTTGAGAAAAGTATCCGATGATATTTTGAAGAAATGTTGCGGCTTACCATTAGCCATAATCAGTATAGTTGGTTTATTAGCAAACAGAAGCAAGGCATTGGAAGTCTGGAGCAATGTATTGACGTCCATTTCTGCTGCAATTGACAAAGATTCTCCCGTTGGTAAAATGAAAAGAATTTTGCTGCTTAGTTACTTTGACCTTCCTCACCATCTAAAGAGTTGTTTGCTATATCTGAGTGTGTTTCCAGAGGATTCTTCTATTGATTGCCGACGGTTGATATTGTTATGGGTAGCCGAAGGACTGATTCCTGGGCAAGACAGAGAAAGTATGGAGCAACTAGGGTGAGTTACTTGAATGAACTGATCAATAGAAGCTTGGTCCAGCCAACCAAGGTTGGGGTAGATGGCACATCCGTTAAACAGTGCAGAGTCCATGATGTCATACTTGAGTTCATTGTGTCAAAGACTGTGGAGGACAACTTTGTTACTATATGGAATGCTAACGGGTTTTCTAAAAAATATTATTCTTCAGACACGATTCACCGTTTATCCATCCAGAAAGACGTTTCAGCCCGGGCGGAAGAGATTGCCAAGACAATAAAAAATGCAGCACATATTCCATCAATTAGTATGTTTGGCTCTAATTCAGTGCTGGTCGATAAGCATGCGTCTGAGTTTTTAAACAGCCAAGTCTTGCGAGTGTAGAATATAGAAAGTCAGGTTGTTGGATGCAATCTTGGACATGTCAAAAGTTTTGGTCAATTGAAGTACTTGAGTGCAAGCCTTAAGCTTCCAGAAGATACAACAAAGCTGCAACATCTAGAGACAATAAATATGGGAAATAGTCTTAGTAAGCTACCAACATGTATTATCCACTTGCAGAAGCTGGTACGTCTTTTTTGTCTCTTCGTGGATGCGACTACCCGATGGAATCAGAAATCTGCAGGCGTTGGAAAGAGCTATGAGCTATTGATTTGGACATTCAATCTGTCGAGTTTATGCAAGGACTGGGTGATCTGACCAATCGGAGGGTACATGGAATTTATTGGTCATGTTCTCGTAAATTACCCAACGGTCTCAAGAAAGCATGTATCTCAACGGTCTCCAGGCTGTTCAGGCACCTGCGAGAACTACGCATGAGGGGGAGTGGTCCTGATGCCACATGTTCATTCATGGCTTCGTGTGTCCCTACACCACCACTTCAAAAGCTTCTTCTTAATACACATAACTTTAATAGGGTGGGCCCTCAAACCAGCTCACTAGTCAATCTAACCCGCCTCTACATTGGTGTTTATGGTGAAGCAGGCAAGGAAGGAATAAATATCCTAGCAAGTTTACCAACCCTGCTCTCTCTTACTGTTGGCAATGACGAAGATGGAGATTCAAGCATCCTCTACGCAAGGCATGCAATCAGCAGACAAGGATTCCAGCGTTTGGTCAAGTTTATTTTGTTGTGTTTGCAAGAGGCGGCATTGGAGTTTGAGCCGGGAGCGCATGCCAAAGCTCCAAAGGCTCAAGCTGGTACTACCGGCACGGTGCCAGTTCAAGTATGGGGAAGGTGGCCTCAAACATATGGCTGTCGATATTTACTGCGGCGATGCTGTTGCAGACGAGGTGGAGGCTTTGGAGGATGACATCAGGGGCGCAGCAGCCGTGCATCCCAACCGTCCCACACTCCAGGTCGAAAGAATTTATCAAGGTCTCATGTACGATCTGCCTTGCCTCTCAATGACAATGGAAGCAGAATTATTACTACAACACGCAAGAAAGTAGTAGCCAACAAATGTTGTACTGGTATTGCCCCACAAATGTATGAAGCCAAGCCACTTAGTGATGAGGACTCTCAGAGATTATTCTTTACGAGGCTATTTTCCTCCAGTGATGATTGTCACCCAGATTTGAGAAAAGTATCCGATGATATTTTGAAGAAATGTTGCGGCTTACCATTAGCCATAATCAGTATAGCTGGTTTATTAGCAAACAGAAGCAAAACAGTGGAAGTCTGGGTCAATGTATTGAGATCTATTCCTGCTGCAGTTGACAAAGATTCTCCCATTGACAAGATGAAAAGAATTCTGCTGCTGAGTTACTTTGACCTTCCTCACCATCTAAAGAGCTGTTTGCTATATCTGAGTGTGTTTCCAGAGGATTCTTTGATTGACTGCCGACAATTGATATTGCTATGGGTAGCCGAAGGACTGATTCCTGGACAAGATAGAGAAACTATGGAGCAGCTTGGGAGAAGTTACTTGAATGAGCTGATCAATAGAAGCTTGGTCCAGCCAACCAAGGTTGGGGCAGATGGCGCAACCGTGAAACAATGCAGAGTTCACGGTGTCATACTTGAGTTCATTGTGTCAAAGGCTTTGGAGGACAATTTTGTTACTATATGGAATGATGATGATTTTTCTAAAAATTATTCTACACACAAGATTCGCCGTTTATCCATCTAGAAAGACATTTCTGCCCGGGCGGAAGAGATTGCCAAGACAATAAAAAATGCAGCTCATATTCGATCAATTAATATCTTTGGTTTTAATTCAGTGCTGGTCGAAAAACATGCCTCTGAGTTTTTAAACAGCCAAGTCTTGCGAGTGCTGAATATAGAAAGTCATGTTGTTGGATGCAATCTTGGACATGTCAAAAGTTTTGGTCAATTGAAGCACTTGTGGGCAGGCCATCAATTTATCGGGGTCACCAAGCTTCCAGAAGACATAGAAAAGCTGCAACATCTAGAGACACTAGATTTGAGAGGGGCCCGTCTTGAAAACCTACCAGCAAGTATTATGCTGTTGCAGAAGCTAGTGCGTCTTTTTGTCCGTCACTCAGTGCACCTGCCCGATGAAATCAGAAATCTGCAGGCGTTGGAAGAGCTATCAATGATCAATTTGGGTATTCAATCTGTAGAGTTTATCCAAGGACTCGGTGATCTGACCTATCTGAAAGTACTTGAAATTGATTGGCCATGCTCTACTGAATTACGTGATATGAAGGATCACAAGAAAGCTTGTATCTCAACGCTCTCCAGGTTGTTCAGGCACCTGCGACAACTACGCATGAGGGGGAGTGGTCCTGATGCCACATGTTCGTTCATGGCTTCGTGTGTCCCTACTCCATCACCGCTTCAAATGCTTCGTCTTGGTACACATAACTTAAATAGGGTGGGCCCTCAAATTAGCTCACTAGTCAACCTGTCTCGCCTCCGCATTGATGTTTATGGTGAAGCAGGCAAGGAAGGAATAAATATCCTAGCAAGTTTACCCATGCTGCTCTCTCTTACTGTTATATTATTCAGTGACGGAGATGGAGATTCAAGCATCCTCTACGCAAGGCATGCAATCAGCAGACAAGGATTCCAGCGTTTGGTCAAGTTTAATTTCTGCTGTTGGCGCGAGGCGGCATTGGAGTTTGAGCCGGGAGCCATGCCAAAGCTCCAAAGGCTCAAGCTGCAACTGCTGGCATGGTGCCAGTTCAAGTATGGGGAAGGTGGCCTCGTCCTTGGGCTGCAGAATCTGGGACTAGGCCTCAAACATGTGGCTGTCGATATTTACTGCTCTGCTGCTGTTGCTGACGAGGTGGAGGCTTTGGAGGATGACATCAGGGGCGCAACAGCCGTGCATCCCAACCGTAGTTCATACTATCGTTTGATAGAAAAATATCGGTGCCCGGCGGTAGAAACGAATTTCGCGAATTTCGGTGATTTTCGGATTTTCTCGGTGAAAAATTTGCCCGAACTAACTTTGAAAAAATAATGAAATCAGTCCAAAATTTGAACGAAAAGGACGAAATTTTGAACGAAATCAACGGAAATCGTCCAGAATAATTGAATTAATAGACCAAAGCAGTTTTTTGGTATATTTTGTTTACAAAATCAGTTAACGTCAATTACTACTTCAAGTCTGCATTTTTGGTCAGAAAATTCAGTCTGAACCATCATTTAAGCAGTACCTACATCTGACTCTGAATCGATGAAAACAACACGGACGAAAGGGCCAACTCCTATAGTACCTGCTGCTTTTCATTCCCGCAGATTATGCCTCTGCAGCGCCATCACGGGTAGAAAGGCTGATGAGCAGGCAGAGGAACGCAAGGATGGAGTCGCAAGAGATGGGACAAGAGCCGCGCAGCCTTGCGTGCGCGATGGTCGCGTGCGTATGCCTCCGCCAGCTCCATTCCTACCCGTGCCGGAGCAAGCAGATGCAGAGCAGGAGAGAGAAATAAAATTCCCATCAGCTAGGGTTTCAGATGGGACTTTATATAGCCAGGAATGGATAAGTGGGCTATATGGACCTTGTTGGGCCAAAAACAAATTCAAAACGGGCCGAAATTTAGAGGCCGGCATAGCAGTTTACCGGGCCTGGCCGGTAGAAACGAATTTCGCCGAAATTCGTAAGTTTCAGGCCGAAATTCTGAACTATGATCCCAACCCAACAGTTCTCATGGCTTTGGAGGATGACATCAGGGGTGCAGCAGGCGTCCATCCGACCATGCCACAGTAGAAGCCTAATGAAGACCATTGTGAGTACATGATGTGAAGAATAAGTATGACTAGCAATTATCATCCGTTTGCCATTTTTAGGTACGGACTACGGAGTATGTACGAACTGAACAAGGCAAATTCGACTTGTTGTCCCCTTGGGTTGTGCACTTGTGGCACCGCTGGTTCATAACTATCTCAGTCTGTCACGGAGCTTAAACTGATTGTTCCAGTTGCTATGTGGCTTTTAGTTCTGACATTGCCTAGATACATTTGCTTGCGTAGTTTTGTCTGGGCACGACACTTCATTTCATTTTAGAAATTCTAGTCTTCCTTTTTATGCATTGATGTGTTCATCCTTCACATGGGTCATTATTATATTTGTTTCCAAATTAAGATCGATCTGTATTTGTAACGTAGCTTCCAAAATTTTGTGTCATGTGGAACATTATTTTGAGCTTGAGTAAATACATCAGTACGTGCTTGAGGGCAAGTTGTGAGGCGCAGCCCGGTCGAGAATGCGGCCGCGGCAAGTGGCGCACGGAGGCTGTGACGGAGGGGTCGGACGTCACACGATCCGGTATCGGCGGGTCCGGTAGAGAGGCTGCGGCAAGGCGGGGGTAGGCCGAGCGGCGGTCCATCGCTGTTGGAATTCTGCATGTCGCCGGTGCTTTAGGCGGCCTTACCCAATCTGGTGTGAGACGAGCTGCTCCTAGACCTTTGTCGTGCCGTCACTTCTTTCATTTATTTATTTCTTCTCTTCCTCCAAATCGACTAGCACTTAACACTGCGGTGCTCTGTTTTCAAAAGTCATTGATTGTTGACAGTAGAGTTGCTGTTTTATTTATCTTATGTTTGTAAAGAAAGACAAGTGAAATTGGCGTCGGCGTTCTGGGCGAGGTGGAGAGCGGGAAGCCGCTGGCGGCCAGCAACGCACAGTGAGATCGTCGGTCTTGTTATTGTCGGCGGCCGTTGCCTGTAAGGTCGTGACCGCCGCATCGACGCTAGAAGATATCTAGTCTAGTTCTGAATAGTGTCAGCTGACTTGCTTCACATGCGCTCCCGGTGGGATTCTCTGACTTGCTGTAGTAAAGTCACTGGTGACTTTCCATCACCTGGATGCCGTCTATTTCTCATCCCACGGTTGGAAAGCTCTTCGCTATTTTTTTTAGAAACAGCTCTTCACTGTATTAGTGCTAGCCGGGATGCAAATAGCAGCCCATCCAAAGACCGGTTCACGGAAATGCGTACGGAGCAGGGATAGTTGGCATAATTTACTTTCTTCTGTGCAACTTATCTTTTCAAAACTTTTACACATGAGCTTGGATAAATATAAAATTTATTTGAAAATTCTAGTCCTGAAAAATATCTACAATTATAGTATCTGACTTTTTCATTTAAAATCATTTTGTGTGAAATTTACCTCAAATTATCTACCATTACATGGCACTTCAAAAAATTATAACTTTTTAAATAATCTTGTATGAAGATGAAATTTATAAAATAATCTTATTTCTCAATAATATATACGTCCTTTTAGTTCACAATGTTTCTATTTGAATCTATCTTGGCACTGAAATAAAGATAAAAATGTATATGCTCACACAACATCTACAACCCAATTAGTTGAAACCAAACCGTAACTCATATAAGACCGCAGACACGATTATCCAGATAGACTATACACTCTTCAGAGGTTGTACACTTTTTCCAAAAGTATGATATTATCGCTACAGTGTGCTAGATATATGTCTGGGTGAGGGGACCGGGACGGATATAGTTGGTGGATATAGGTTGAAAGGAGATTAAAATAGAGCTCAAATGATTTATAGTTTTTGAAATAAAATTTAAAAATAATTTTGAGTACAAGGGATTTTGAATTTGACTTTTCACAGTGTTATCCTAAACGATAAACAATCGGTCACTTGCCATTTAGCCATTATTCGGTCTAAATGTCCAATTAAATGGGCAAAGCGGTCATTTGAATGGGCTAAACGGCTGATTAAACGGAAACGGTGTACCACTGTGTAGCGTTGACATGGTGCGTAAATGGGCTAAACGATTGTTCAGACGAGCAATGAATTAAAAGGTTATATATATTATCGAGAAGTAAGATTATTTTATAATTTTTATCTTCATCCGAGATTATATAAAAAATTATATTTTTTTTGAAGAAGTGCTGTGTAACGGTAGATAATTTGAGTCAATTTATTCAAACAAAATGTTTTAAATGAAAAAGTCATATATTATAAAGTTGTAGATATTCTTGAGGACTATAATGTATAAATTTTATCTTTAGCCAAGCTCATACGTAAATGTTTTTATTTATATATAGAAAACATAAGCTGTACAGAAAAAAGAAAATTTTGCCAACTATCCTTGCTTTAAATCTAAAGGTTCTCATGGAATGTTATTCAGTTTTGTCCAAAAATACTAAACAAACTCCAACCGATAGTGATCAACTTCTGACTCGCTAGGTGAGTTTTTCTAATATATATTGCTTTTACCTATTTTTTCAATTATTATTCACTCATGTAGTCAATATTCAGTTTTATCCAAAAATACTAAACAGCATCATCTGCCGTTGAGCAACTTCTAACTTGCTTGGAGAGTTTCCAGTAGTTTTTACCTGTTTCTTCAATATCTAAATTTCCCCTTTTCAGTTCAGGTTACCATATATCAAGTGATTAAACTAATGTACATCATGGCATTAATTTTTTTTTTCGCTCACTATCAGTGTTGAGAAGTAAACAATTGACAAGTTGTCTCTTTGGACATAATCATGACTAAGATTGGAACATTCACTGACAAGGGCACAAAGACTATTTAGAATTGGTAATGCTCTCCTTAGGGCGTCTGACACTTCGGACGCGCCCATTGTTGGCCTGTGGAGCCCAATACGAAGCCTGCTTCCGGCTTCTTAAAAAAAAGAAAATGATTCCGGCACCTCCTTTTCCAACTTAACCACCCGCTACTGGTTGGTCCTGGCGGCATCGAGCTCGACGCGAAGGCACGCGTTCTCGCCCTGGAGTCACGACGTCGGTCTCGAGGAACGACACGATGGCTATGGTTTCCTTGAGGATCTTGCGCTCTAGCAGCTCGGTGCAGAGGCGGCTAGGACTCCTGCTCCTAGAGCTTCTCGACGAGGCAGATGAGGTCCGCGGCGGTAGGGTTTGACGGCAACTCGGGCGGCCTCGTCGCATGCACCGACTGCACCTGCGCGAACGACCGTAGGAAGTAGCACGAGAATGGTCCACCGGGGCCACGCAGCCGCCTGCCCACTAGTATCTCCGCTCACTCCACGGCATCAAGCTCCGCGTCGATGAGCCTCAATTCATCCAAGCAGCAAGCTGAAAGCACATGTTGTAAGAGTATGTTTCAATTGTTTGAGATGTTTTAGAGCTATGTTGCAAGTGTTGTATATTGATGTTGCGAAAGTACATCAGGATGTTGCACATGTTGTATTGGCTATGCATGTATGTTTCAAGCGTATGTTCCAAATATTTCATCTATTTCAGATGTATGTTGCAAGTGTTTTATCTAGATGTTGCAAAAGTAGATTTGGATGTTGCATATATATGCATATTGTAAGCATTTGTTTCAAGTGTTCCAGGTGTTTTCATACGTATGTTTGCAAGTGCTTCATCTGGATGTTGCATATGTTTGCAATGGTTTTCAATTGTTTTTTAGGCATTTTCCACAAGTGTTTCAGATGCTTATTTCATGTGTTTCATCTGCCTTCAGACGTATATTGCAAATGTTGCATCTGGATGTTTCTAAAGTAGATCGGATGTTGCGTCTCCCTCCTCGCTTTCTGCTGCCACACCTCGGTGTTTCCTCCTCCACCCGGCGCTGGCTGGGCATCCGCCGCCCCCTCTCCCTCTTTCTCGATGCTGGTGACATTTGGGACGTCGGTCCCACGTGGACACGCGAAATGGCACGGAAAACGGCTGCAAGCATAGGCGTTCGGGTGCTAGCAAGCCCAATTTTTTATACCAATGTATTTAAAAGGACCGGCCCATTTCATATAAGAGCTTGCTCAGGTCGTATATATATACCATCCATCAGTTGCTACCAACTGTTTGTTTCATAAAATTAATTCGGTCCCCTCATAGATTCAAATTAACATTTGTGTCAGTGTGTGTTATGACTTGACTATTTCTTAATCCATGAACCATTCTTCTTTATAGAAATACATACAAGATTATAGCAACAACGCACGGGGTATTATCATCTAGTTCATAATAGAGTGCGGCTGCTAGGATTCAAACCGAC